TCATGATGTGGACTCTGTCCTTGCTGATGGACATGGTCTTACGGTGGAAGCAAATAAGGTCCTCTGCGATGAGATTTCTCAAGGTTCAAGGGAGTCAGCCATGGAGCTTGGAGAAAAGCATACTGACACTGTGGAGACCTCAAAGAAGCGAAATGCTGCAGAGATTGCTCAAAATGAATCCAGTAACTATGAAGGAGAAGGAGCAGAAAAAGAAGCAGGCAATGAGGTTGACAGAAAAGAGGATAGTGACAACACAGCTGTTTTTGAGCATTGTTATGGTGTAGGTGACTTCATTTGGGGAAAAGTGAAGAGTCGTCCGTGGTGGCCAGGCCGGATTTATAACCCATCAGATGCGTCTGAATTTGCAGTGAGGTACAAGCAGGCAGGCAGGCTTCTTGTGGTTTACTTTGGGGATGGCTCTTTCTCTTGGTGTCTCCCATCAGAGTTGAAACCATTTCACGAGAACTTTGAGGAAATGTCAAAGCAAAGCAATGTGGAAACTTTCACTAATGCCGTGGACAAAGCTCTCGATGAAATGCGTATCTTGCTGGAGTTAGAAATGAACTGCCAATGTGTACCACTTAGTATGCCCATGGCAGTGAATGCTGGAATTAAGCCCGGAGTTCTCATACCACCAAAAGGAGATACTAAGCTTAAGCTTTCACTGCCCTATTTTGAGCCTTGTTTGGTACGTTTCAATTTGAATAACCTTGCACAAACCACCTCTGTTCCTAATAGGATTGAGCTTGTCACATTTACTAGCTGGCTGTCTGCTTTCTGTCGTGCAAATCGGGGCCATGGATTATCCTTTTATTGCAAGCCGAGTAATATTGAAGGCCTGGAGGATAAGTCTAGAAATCAGGATGTGGAATTATATGATAGTGTTGTGTCACCTATCCAGGGCCTCTTAGAAGGACAAGAAGTTGTTTACTCCAGAAATGATGGCCCTTATAAGTGCCCAGTGAATGCTGATGACAAGCCTCGTCACCATAGGAATCTGGCAAGTGTATCTCAACTTTTGCATGTGAGCAGTGGGTCAGATTCTCAAAATGAAAGTCACAAGGGAAAAGACTTGCATAATTATTTACCTGAAGCCTTGAAGAAAAGGAAGTCTTTGTCCATTAAATGGAGCGGAAGTGGTGCTCAGGACAGTGTGGATACAGCCAAAGAAGGCCTTATTTCAAGGGAAAGGAAGAAAAGCAAGTATCTGTCACCTCCATATACAAGCATTAGCATGATGAGTGGAAACTCGCGTGCAAAACAAGGATTTGACCTGGAATCTGAATCTGATAAAGAAAATCAGCTGATGCTGCTTCCTGCTCTGTATATGAGTACGCCTACAAGTGAAGTCTTGTCAGAAGTTCAATCCGCTGCTATTAACCCCCACTGTTGGAGAAAGCCTGGCACCCTAGATATGATTAGGGAATTTACGGGTTCTTTTCGGAAGTCTTTTTATGTCAATGAATCAAGTGAGAAGGTGCATAAAAGTAGGCATGCTGGGAGCAAGAGAAACTCATCATCCTCCTTGAAAGAAAATACCAAGGCCAAGTCTGAATATGAGGAGACTGTGTCATTTGGTTCAATCAAACAGAGCCTGAAAATACTGAAGTTTTTGCTAAAAAGGTGTGATGGGAAAATTTTAGAAGAGGAGAAACTTTACTTGGAGGATGAGGTCAAGGTTCTGCTGAAGAAGGTGAGTGCATTGGTTGCAGCCCCATGACAAACGATGGGTATGAGATATTCATATATCATATACGTAGTAGACTAGTAGTACTTTAGAAGTTGTTGTTAACCATTTGGTGCAGGACGGATATTTGAACGACCTTTTTGTGAGCGGCGGAGATTTAATGACTTGTTCCTAGGTTCTTTTGTGGAAGTTCAGAAGGCGGTTTATTTGTGTGGGATGGTAGATTGGTATAAGATGTGGTTACCTAAATGAACTTCCTGATTGACAATTGTAACTAGTTTCACAGAAGCACTTTCGTGCTGCTTAGTAGGAGTAGTTCCTGAAAATTTATTTTGCATGAATCCATTGGGCTTCTATTGCATCTTCTTCCTTGCTCCTGTGAGTGTGAGCTTTTCGCACTTGTAGTCTAACAGTGAACTATTTTCTTTCCAATCAACTTCTAGAATTTGATCCTTTCTGGGTTTCAAGTAGATGGGGTGATAGAATACAAGTAGGAGTTGCACTTTTGTTAGAAAGGGCAGAGCTTCAATCCGAAGTAAATGGGTTTTATATCTGATTTGAATGAGAAATAGAGAAGTATATTATTCGTCTATTTTTCCTAGTTTATGCTCCACACTAAGATCCCAATATGTTTTTTTTAGAAAGAATCACATATAATTAGATTTTAAAGAATAAGTGCTGAATATGCAAAATGCCTCTTATTAGGGTAGGTAGTGTAAAGTACCCATAATGAACGCAAATCTGAATATGCAAAGAATATAAGCGTGTGGTAATACTGAAATTGGTTGAATGGCTCAATTTGTTGAAATTGATGAATTGTCAATTGAAGACGCTGAATTGGTTAAATCTTAGAAGTATGATTTTTTTATTTAATATACGGAGTATATATTATCAATAAAAATAAATAAAAATTACATGGAAAAATTAGTTAAAATAATCTTCTATAGTAAATTCAGATGGAAAAGTGAGTCCAAAGTTATTTATTTTTATTATTACACAACATAGCATTCGAAATTAAAATTTGTGTGTTTGGTAAAAAATGGATGATGAAATTGATAAACAGAATATATGTGTTTGGTAAAAAAAATTGGTCTCTCCTATAAAGACCTTGTTGTGAACTAAAATTGAGGTGAGTACCAATAGTGCCTCATTTATTGGGTATACCAAAAGAAAGTTCATTAGTCCCATAAAAAAAATTCAACTTACCATTTGGACATGTTACAAAAAAAAAATCTTCTCTTCTCATTGCTTGTTATGGAAAGGTTCGTGTGACTAATTTTCATGTACTTTTTTTAATCAAACCACAATCATACATTTTTATTTTATTCTTGCTTTCGTAATAGACTTGCATAATCAATCTGTGAAAAACCTTATGAGACGAAGGAAATATCATTTTAGTACTCCATCCCTCCCACAAAATTTGGCCAAGTTTCACTTGCACATGAAATAATTGTGGTTGATATTGTATAATACGGGACACAAAAACATTAATTGCGTTTTTAGTATTTAAATGAGAATGACAAAGTGTTTTAGGGCAACTAATAAGGAGATTTGATAAAATTCGTGAGATGGAGAGAGTAACACACAAACTACGAGTGGACCTAGGTCTGGATTTTGGGCCTGGGCAGATAATAAATTGGATTGGACTCCCACATTATTTTATTCAAGACCAGATTGATATTGGGTGTTGGTCGAAATCAGGTTTAATGATATGAGAGCCACACCAGCCAAACATAGGTAGCTGTATAATTATTTTTGGTATCGTTTGGTAAAATTTGTTCAAAAAGCTAGAGTACACTCTTGTCTACACATTTTCCACACCCTATGTAAGGGTCTAGAATTTACCATTTTTTACCCTCCCTTAGTCCATTTTCCTCTCCTCTCATAGGTTATGTCCTTTCTTTCTTTCATCAAATATCTTAATCATTTTTCTTCTTCACCATCTTCCATATCCAACACCTCTCTCATCTTCACCATTTTCATCTTATTTCTCTTCCTTCTTCATTATCTTTCATTCTTCCATTCATTTAATAATTGTGTCAAACTAAAACAAGATATCCAACGTGGGACCAATGTAGTAAAAGATTACTATGAAAGTATGAAGATTATAAGTCCTAGTTGCTTCTCTTTGTTCCACCTTCTTTGCTTCCCGAGAAAGTGTCATTGAGAGTAGCTACATTTGTTACATTTGAATATAAACACACAATGAACATCATTTTACAAAAAAAAAAATCTAGAATATGTGTGGTTAAAAGTAAAAGCACTTATGTTCCTTAATATAAGACATGATGTTATGTACTCATAATTTCTCCGTTCCAACTACTCTCAATACATAGAAACTATGATTTGTAATTATCATGACAAATTGTTTTGTAATTTAAGAGCTTATATACATTCATTATAGTTGTCATCAATTATAATAAGTTAAATGAGATAAATATTGACGAGAGGTGTAAAGCTGAAAATAATCAAAATTCGATGAGTAACAAATTTACTTTTGAAAATAGAAGGTTGAACTCAAGGGTAAAAGTAAAAACTCATCCCAACAGAGGCATGAGCATAAGAAGATACACTCAAAACTAGAGCATCATCTAAAACGTAGTATTGAAGCTGAGGACACCCCGGAATAGACACTTCTAAACCTAGGATCTGTAGTCACATTTGCCTTCTGCGTTGTTGAACAAACATATATTTGCCTTGTCATAACCCTTTTTGTGCTTCTTTCTTGTAGTAGACTTTATGAATTCAAGTTAAGTACACAAAAGTTGTGTAAAACTTGTACTAACAACCCCGAAAAATCAGTTTTAAGTTTAAAAAAAAACTCAAACCCATTCTTCTTGAATGCCTAACTTAATACCAGTTATGAAATGCACAAAATGGTTGAGACCAGGCAAATACATGTGCATTCAACAACGTAGTGGAAAGTGGCGCGCGCTTGACATAGAGCTTATGAAGGAGCAATGGGATACTAGAAGGGTCAAAGGGACTACATTATGAACAAAACCTCGCTGATGTTGGTTTGTGGCAATGTATTGGCCTCAGTATGAATGCAAACCAGAATGAGAATGAGAGAGTGCTTCAACACTTCACTTTGTACGACACTTTCCTTCACGTGATGCCATTTTAGTGAATAGTCCCTGTTGGGCCTAGAAAATTACATGTGATTGTTGGGCCTGCCTAATATTTGAATAAAATCAAGTATTAGTCTAATAAAGTCAAAAAAGCCTATTGAATGGAGATAAGCATGGACGGATTCAACAAGTAATAGAAGGGTAAGAACGAGTAGCAGTAGTGGCGAGAAAACAGGGGAGAGCTTGTACCTATTTCGGCGGACAGTTGAGCAATAATAGAGGATATTGAATTAAGTATATATATGAGATATCATGTATGGAAAGGGCACTTCCACTCACGATCAATTTTTACTCACAAAGCCTTTATTTGTGCCCACGCATATCAATATATTTTAGCAGCTAAACTTTATTCGTTGATGATTTACATACAAATTTACTATTATTCAAGCTATATCTTTCTGTATTCAAGAGCATACTGCTAAGAATTATTCACTTCGGTCATTATAGATCAATTTATCTTCTCTTTTCAATTCGATTCTATTTTGCTTGATTCCCAATTCAATCATTCTTAGATTAGTTAATTTCTAGTCAAAACAATTGGCGCCGTCTGTGGGAAATTCTTGCAAAATGAGAATCAATTATGGCCGAAAATTGTAACTCCCTGTTTAATGAGATTCAAGCACAACTAGAAGCCGTCCGAGAAGAGCTCTGCGCATCCAAAAGTTCCAACGCAGCACAATTAGAAGCTGTCCGGGAGGAAATGCGTCAACGAATCGCCTTCCTCCAAGGTGAAAATGACGCTTTGAGATCTCAGGTGCAATCGGTGGCATCCATAGCCTCAAGCTCACGACGGGGCGAGGATGTGGCTACCATGGCAACGAGACTGGACATGGGTTCGATTCCGGCTTCAACCGAACCTTTCATCCCTCACTTCGGGGCCGACACATTTGGAGGAGCAGGGCCCTCAACTCGTTCCTTTCCACCCCCAAATCCCAGAAGGAACATATTCCGAAATCTGTTTGCACAGCCCCAGAGACAACATGTTCCAAATCATGTCGACATTCCCAGAATATGTCGACATCAACAACCAGAGGCGACAAGTTCCAAGCCATGTCGACATCCCCAGACATGACGACATCAATAATCGAAGTTGTCAGGAGCCAGAGGTCGTCACCATATATTCGCCTCTCGAAGCAGCGGATCCGCAGATACAAACAAACTTGGCAGATCCCTTGGCCGTCATCATGGAGGAACTGAGGGAATTGCGAGAGAAGTTCAACAGCATACCTGGAGTCCCACGTCCGCTTGACATGGCGACGCAAACCTGTTACGCAGACTCACCCTTCGGACGACATATCACCGATGTCGAGATTCCGAGGAAGTTCGCCGCCCCCTCAATGAGACTGTTTGATGGGACTTCTGATCCGGTGGAACATGTCGCTCAGTACAAACAACAAATGTTGGCCGTCTCGGTCAGACCACATCAGAGAGAAGCTTGCACGTGCCGGGCATTTGGGATAACGTTGACAGGACCAACGTTGACATGGTTCGTCAATCTGCCGAACGACAGCATCAATTCATTTGCGGAGCTGGTCAACTTATTCAATCAGCAGTTTGCAAGTAGCCGAGCCTTGGAGAAGCAGACTAGTGACCTCTACCGAGTAGTCCAGCGACGGAATGAACCCTTAAGGGATTACTTGCACCGATTCAACAAGGAGAAGGTGTCAATCCCCAGGTGTCACATACCGACGACAATTGAAGCATTTAGAAGGGGACTGCTGGAGGATTCAGAGTTATATCAGGAGTTGACGAAACACCCTAGTCGGTCCTTCGAAGATGTTCAAGTAAGGGCACTGGCTTTCATCCGTCTAGAAGAAGACTTACGATGTCGTCACAGACGAATTGAACAAGACGGGGGGCACGGAAAGTCAGAACCTCCCAGGAGACATGACTACAAGCATGGAAAGCCTTATTCGAGGCCTGAGGAATAAGTCGTCACTTCTGTGACAAGGTAGATCAGACGACATGATCGAAGTCGTCGGACGGGGGGCATGTCGTCCGATGGTAGTCAGGTTCTTAAGAGCTGCAGTACGGTACACTTAAAATTGTTTCACTTTTAATAATTTTCTTTTGCATATTGACATCACTCCCGTGATTAAATAGACCAGGCGACATGACTGAAGTCATCAAGACAGGGGTCATGTCGTCAGATAATAAACCTGACGAGACAATTGAAATCATCTGACGATAGATAGGTTCTCACGATCGATATTTAGAGTCATATACATATTCTCAATTGATTACTTTCATTTATCCACAAATGATCACTAACTTAAGCATCGGAGGGCCGTTGGCTTTTAGCCAACGGCCGACGTTAGCGAAATATTTATTGCACAGGTACAATTAAGAATTGACGATGACGGAATCCTAACATGCAAAGCCTTACAACACGTCAAACACAATTGACGGGTGGCTTACATCAAACAAAGCCTTACAACACGTCAAAACACATTTGACGGGGGGCTTACCGAATTTTAGAGGAAGAGGTGGGGTTTTCATGTACGCTAAACATGAGTATAAACACCACCGATTCTCATCAATGTTTTGGCCAAAACAACAGACAGATCATACATCACAAATGCTGACTACATCAAAGTCAGACAAACACAAAACAACAACAGTACACGTACAACTGACATCATCATGTGAAAAAACAACCACATCCAAAACTACAGAAAATACACAACAGAAGCACGTGCTCCAAGAGCACGACAACACAATCTCCAAAATATAAGGAGACAACATGAACGACATTGACATACATGATAAATATTCATGTCGACGATATTACTAATACAACAAACGAAGCGGTGCTTAATGTTTTTGCAGGTTACGGTCACAGTCACAGAGTCAAACCCATCATTTATACAACGAGGGACAAAACCATAATTGCCAACAAAAGTGTCGACATCAACCTGAATGAAGGTTGACGACATGTCTCCCCAGACACATGATGAGTTGACAAAAGTGTCTTATTATATGAATGGCATGTTGACAGCATATATCATCGTGCAAACGACATGTTTATATGAGTTGTATTCAAGGATGACATGTATGGATGTTTTCAAGATTTCGACAAGTTAACGCTTAACGGGTTGACATGTGCGTCCATACGCCTCAACTTCTCGAAAGGGGGCAATTGTTGGGCCTAGAAAATTACATGTGATTGTTGGGCCTGTCTAATATTTGAATAAAATCAAGTATTAGTCTAATAAAGTCAAAAAAGCCTATTGAATGGAGATAAGCATGGACGGATTCAACAAGTAATAGAAGGGTAAGAACGAGTAGCAGTAGTGGCGAGAAAACAGGGGAGAGCTTGTACCTATTTCGGCGGACAGTTGAGCAATAATAGAGGATATTGAATTAAGTATATATATGAGATATCATGTATGGAAAGGGCACTTCCACTCACGATCAATTTTTACTCACAAAGCCTTTATTTGTGCCCACGCATATCAATATATTTTAGCAGCTAAACTTTATTCGTTGATGATTTACATACAAATTTACTATTATTCAAGCTATATCTTTCTGTATTCAAGAGCATACTGCTAAGAATTATTCACTTCGGTCATTATAGATCAATTTATCTTCTCTTTTCAATTCGATTCTATTTTGCTTGATTCCCAATTCAATCATTCTTAGATTAGTTAATTTCTAGTCAAAACAGTCCCACGGATTATAAAAACATTTCATGCTTTTAGTAGTGTGTGGTTGCACAAGTGTTTGATCCTATGTCGTTGGCCAGGGGCCCGCCCTGCCTATCACCCGGTGGACGACCAAGCAGAAGTGTCTACACATGGGCATTCTCCCCATCCTCAAGACTGAGTTTAGGATGCCCAAATGATGGGAGTTTATTTTCTAATACTCTTGTCTCTGCGGGCCAAAGATTTAAAAGCAATGGAGGAGATGCTACTTAACTTATCACATATTGAATTTACTTGTGTTGTGAGTTTCATATTTAAACACAAACTTTTGGTTGTGTCATTCCATTGTTTGAACCCAGCCCAAAGGGTTCATCGTGTGATAGACCAATTCTATTTCATGTTGGGGGATTCATTGAATATTTTCTATTTATAACTAGATTGCATACTGAGTTTGTGTTGTAGTTTTGTCATTACTTTTGTGAGTTTGTCACATCAGATTTAATTTAATACTTCGTTTTGACTTGGCGGATTGGAATGTCTCCTACTTGAAATAATTTTTTCTTAAGATTGTCTCTAAAGTTTAAGTTTATAGAACTTTTCATCACAGTGACTAGTGATTCAATATTTTCGAAAATTTCTACAAATCTGAACTGTATACATCAGTATTTTCTTCACAATGACTGCAGTGTCATCATATATAAATATGGCCTTTTTCTAGATCTATTGTTGTATATCTCTGAATTCAACAAGTGCTCTGCCATGAATGAGCATAAGACTAGGTTTCATTCCTTACAAGATGGTTTTTGCCTTGACCCTCCCAAGTGCGCTTCTATTGGACCTTTCTTCTTTGAAATCACTTGTAATAGAATGGTGAACTGCGTTTTTATCAACTTGCAGAAAAATATAACGTATCAGGATCTCAACCTTCAGCAGACAAGAGATCAGAAACAGCCTTTTCAACAAGGAATGGGTGATCATACAAGTAGAGGTTACAGTGTTGCAAAAACTTTGGTTAAGTTGAGCAGTTTGAAGGAATTTGATATAAATGAAAGGGAAAAGGTGCAAATAGGCCCATGTACTAACCAAAAGAGGTCAAATAAGCCCTTATTTAGGAGGTTCTGTCCGGTCGTCGCCATTTAGGGTGGTTCCCGGAGGAATTTTTTGATGAAATTTTTTGAGCATCTTATTCATCAAGTCTAGTTTACTCATACCAAATTTCAGCTAAAACTTCAATCGGGAAGGCATTCAAATGAATTCTTGAAAATAACTGCGCAGTTAGAAGAGCAGTTATCTTCAAGAATTCATTTGAATGTCTTCCCGATTGAAGTTTTAGCTGAAATTTGGTATGAGTAAACTAGACTTGATGAATAAGATGCTCAAAAAATATCATCAAAAAATTCCACCGGGAACCACCCCAAATGACGACGGCCAGACAGAGTCTCCTAAATAAGGGCTTATTTGACCTTTTTTGGTTATATGAAGTATATTCTCCTTTTTTATTACTATGTCTGCAAGTTAACAATAAGGGTGTTTTCAGGACAATATTTTCTTCTTATCCTAGCTTTTGAACATTTGCCTTCAATTCTTTTAACCAAACAATGGACGTGATGATTTGTTTAAACGAAAGCCAACAGTTGTTGTCCTTGTCTATGAGTGTGGTCATTCTGAAAAAGTTCACGGAGAAATTTCTGTGCAAAGGGTGAATGATCATTCTGAAACTTGAGTCAAATGTGACTTCAGTTACGTGAGGTCTAATGGAACACATAACCTCATATAACTTAAGTAGGGAGCCCTATGCAATAGTGCCTTGACCATGACTTAAAAGGTGTGTTTGCCATTGCTTAAATTAAGTGCTTTTTGGCTTTTAGATTAAAAAAAGCTAAAAAAGGTGTTTGGTAATCCCAGATTTTGATTAAAAAAAGTGCTTTAAAGTTAAAAGTTGGAAGTTGGGTTGGAGGTGCTTTTAACTGCTTATTGGTTTTTTTGTAAATAGTTTGAACTTTGAGGATGGTTATAATGCTAAATATATTGAAGTGCACCCAGAATACCCTTACTCCCTTCTGCTTCTGTCGCATCGTCTCTTATTTACACGAGTATTAGATATATGCATATGAAATACTTTGGCATGGCAGAAGAGAGCAGAGATCGGCGAGAGAAATAGCTTCACCGTCGCAATCAAATCCGGCCGGATTTATCGCTCCTTAGTTCATCATCGTCATTGCCGGAATTGTCAAACTCACCCACATCACCATTATCCGTCCTTCGTCACTTCCTAAACACTCTGGGCGGAGCCTGGAGATGCCCAACCCACCCAAATCTCCATTCGTATCAAGGTGATAACTCCCAGCTTCGTTCCTGTCATGGCCGGAAAGGCCAAACCCACCACATCGTCATTTTCACCCCATTAGTGCAACTTTGAATTAATACTTCGTACGGCATATGTTAAATGAGTATAAGGGTGTTTTTGTCTTTCACTAAATTAATACATCAAAAATCACTTTTTTATCAAACACTCCAACTTTAACTTTTCCACTTTAATCACTTCTATTTCCAAACACTGTCAACTTTTACTACAAATCACTTTTGCAATAATCTCTTAAAAAAATCACTTTTAAAAAGTACAAGCAATCGCAAACACTCCCAAAGTATTGTTATGTGACCAAGAGGTTACGGACTCACGAGTAAAGTCTTAGGAGCAACTTTTATTTATCAAAATGACAATACAAAATTTGCTCCTTATACACCCTTGTGGTGAGACACTCCCTCCGGACACCAATGTGCCTCGGGGCCCTCACTACCCCTTTAATTCGACCAGACAAAAACAAACCTAAAAAGAATAGACCAGACTTGAATAATACTACATAATAAAACAATACATATAATGCTAGACCTGAACAAGGAATACATTCCAGATCAGTTCAAATAAGATTTAACTTAATCTAGACCTGAAAATTTCAGTCCAAATAAGCAGTCCCTTCATTGCACAAAACAGTACAACAGCGACGAAGAACAAATTGGAACTTGAGTACTAAACTTATTTGACTAGGAAAGGAATACATATGAAAAAATGAAGGGCACGGCGGCCGGCACACACTAGATTCAAATCCAATTAATGCACAATGTGCAACAGAAACATATGCCTTCTTACTTGTTCTTGCGTAATCAAACAGAACTCTATGAAATTCATAGATCTATATACAGATGCGTTCTCTATGCAGATAATAGTACCACAAACATTTTAGTCATCAACAGGGTCCTGAGGGGTCTCAGCTGCACTGCGCTTGATTGTTACAACAGGACATTGAGCATGCTTAACACAAAATTCACTAACAGTTCCTACGAACACCCTGCAAAAAAAAGGATAGTAAATAACGTACATTTTTGGTGAAATATGATGCTTGGTTAAATGAAGGGGTAAACATCTTTGAAGAGAGAGCTCAGTATTGCTAGAGCCTTTTAACCAAATTAATGAAAGTACAGGCGATTGACAATGCGCGTGGTTTGAAAATGTATAAGAAAGATCTTTGAAGTGTATTCCAAAAAACCAGTCAATACCTTTGAAAGGGCCCAAGACCACGGCAACCAACTACAAGAAGATCTGGCTGCACACGTTGAACCTCATGGCAAATGACTTCCGTGGGATCTCCTTTCTTGATCCATGCTTCACAAGATACCTTGAAAATGTAAATATTTTCAACAACATGACAGAGGGACCATTGCACTAGTGATATAAAGTTGAATTTATTACTAAACATAAGAAGATGTACTCCACATTATAACCATGGTATAGCCAGGGGTATATACAGCGGGGGTCAAGGTGGGCAATCGCCCCCCAACCCCCATCAATCCCCTTTATAATAATAAAAGTTTACGTATAATATGTATAGCTGTGTTTAGATTTTGTATTAATATGTTAATTAAGTTAGTGTTACTACAACTTGTAATATTGTAATGGAACTCAGGTCATGCTTTTTCCAAATAGATGGGGGATTGAATCATTCCCCATATCTTTGGAGTTTTACTTTTTTGTTAGCCTCTTTAAAGCTTTAAACCTGATTAAAACGAACTTCAATAATTTCAATTTAATAACTAATTTATGATATATTTTTAATTACATTCTTGCAAACACATAATATAAATTGATCTCCTTTTTATACATACTTATACATTTTCAACTTAAGTTAATTGTAATTACATAATTCACACGCCCTTATCTAATCCATTTTTTACTTCCAAAATTTTAATAAACTAAATATTGCCTTATTAAAATTTGTCTCTAAAAATGGAAAATTATATTAATCCATAAACTTTTATTAAAGTCGCCCCCTCTCACTGGGTACAGCGAATGCGTGGTGTCACTGGAATTAATATAAAACAGTGTATCTTCATACCTCAAGCTCATGACACCGGTTCACAAAGTATTCCAGCAGATGGAGTCCTCTTATTTTGTCCCGCTGCCTTATGTTCTTGAAATCCTGAGGTGACGCGAAGAGGCTATCCATATCATTAAAACCTGTTAATTAAATTCTCCTATGAGATTTCATAGACTGACAGTTTATAAAAACAAAATGTTTGAATATATTCCACGACTCCAACTGCCTGCCAACCACAAGCCACTTTAACCAAGAATTTAAGATTTTAAGGCAACTAGAAGAGTTTATCTTCCAGGAATTGCTATTTCCCGTTTAAATTCAAGCAGACAAAGAAAAAACTTAACACAGCAAGTTCAAATGTTTTCACTTTCAAATCCATCTAATATACTTCAGATTGATCAAATGCGAGGAGTGATCACACGATGCAAATGGCTATCTGAAACATGTAAAGCGTACAGAAAAAGCCACAAATACCAATCTAATAATAAGACATAAAGGGATTGCAAAGTTCAAAACCACAAGAGGTATTAAGCATGATCGTGTGGTTTTGAACTTTTAAGGGATTGCAAAATTTCAAATGCAATCGGACACCGCAAATCCAAGGTGAGTAACACTAATATTGGGAGTTAAAACGTAAAACCTAGAGATACACATATATCAGATAGAGAAAGAGAGAGAACCATCTTCATCAGGAACTTGGACATGGAGAAGAAGAAGCTTGAAATAAGAGGTGTTGGAACGAACAATCTTGTTGAGAGTCCATTCGAAGGCTCCCTTGCTGCTGATGGAAGGATGCGGGTAGCCTTTAATCGTCGACTCGTTCAATCCGATCATGATCCTAGTCGGCTCGCCTGCCATGTCCGTCTTGAGTTGCAGATCTAAGTATCCAACGGTAAACTAATAATGACACGCTTTTTTCCTAAGATTTTTCTCAGAACTTGAACGAATAGCTTTGTGCAGTGATCACAGACATTTCTTATCCGTAGGATATACACCCTCAGATTTCTCCATTCCCATTTTTGGAGTCTTGATTAAAACATTTCAATTCTATTTTTAAATATAATTAGTACTGTAAAATAAGAAATAAATCATTAAGGGCCTGTTTACTAACAGAAATATTTTCCAGTTTTCCAAAAAACTGGAAAACTGGAAAACAGAAAACAGGAAACGTGTTTACCAAAGAAATTCCTCGAAAACTGGAGAAAGGAAAAAAGAAAAACGTGTTTACCAAATCGTTTTCCAAAACGGAAAAAATGAAACATGTCTCTCTCTTCCTTAATGATTTGGAGAAGTGACTTTTATTAGTTTTCCAAATTTGGAAAACGCAGATGCTACAGTACCTTTGCAATGAATTTGCATACTTACACCTAGTGGTGGGTCCGGTCCCGCTCCGATGTCGATTCCATTCTGGTACCTCCATCCTCGTACCTTACCCCTTACCCCTACCCTACCCTACCCTACCCACCCAACCCCCACCCCGCGTACCCATTTTTCCCTATAATGACCTTACCTCACCCCCCACCACATGCCCCGACCTCGACCCCACCCCGATCCACCCTACCCTACCGCCACCCCCTACCACCTCGACCCCACCTCGATCCACCCTACCCTACCGCCACCCCCCTACCACCTCGACCCCACCCCGACCCACCCTACCCTACCCCCACCCCTCGTATATTACCATTTACCCCTACCTTACCCCTTACCACATGCCTCCTACCTCGGCCCCACCCCACCGCCATCCTACCCCCACCCCCGTACCACCATCCTACCCCCACACCCCACCCTACCCTACCTCGGCCCCACCCGGATCCCGGGCCCACCCTA